GTAAAAAACAAATCAACTTGTGACCACGTTTGTTAAGACGTGTCTCCGACTAGTGTTGACTTCCAAGATGTCTTCACTTCCTTACCATTCAAACTTTATAAACTACGTCCAGCAACAAGGCCTCTGATCAGGAGGTCTTTAGGAGCGTGGAATCACCTCTTAATTGCTTGTGTTCCCGGGTCCACCCTGACCCGGGGTGGTAGCACCTGTTAGGGTCCCAGCTGTTGGCAAACAGTTTATCCCGAAACTTTGGTCAAAACACTATGAAAGTGTAAAAATAGGTTTTAATATCAGAAATACTCTGTAAAAAATTATTATCAGCAATACATTTTTGGAAAAAAAATATTACCAACAAAACAGTTTTGAAGGAAAACATTATTACCAGAAATGGATTTTTTGACAAAACAAAATATTACCAGCAATAAAATTTTTGTCCATATTAAATAACCCATAATTGAGGTGTTGATATGCCGTAAAACCAAACCAAACCAAACCAAACCAAATCAAACTTAAAAAAAAAAAAATACTCAAAACAAAGATATGAATCAGAAGTCTAAAATGATCGTCTGATAAAAGTATACCAGGCAGATGTATTACAGCCAAATGTGCCCGAAACGACTCTATAATTATTAAAGCATTTGAAATGTTACTTAAATTGTTCCAACACTCATTCATTTGATAGAGCTCAAAATCATTGACGTATTTTCTCCTCTGTCGCCTCTTTCTCCACAGAGGCAACATTGCAAGTTTTTCCTTACTCTATTGCGATGTCCATGACAAATGTTGTATTGAGCTCTACTTTTTAGTTTCAGAAGGTTTAGAGCCTCACCCTGAAAATATTCCACATCGTCTAATCATCCTCATTCCTCTCCGTGTTTTCAGAGTAAAAAGGGAGTTCCATCCGACATTTTTTTTACACAAGAAATGCTACTCTGTGAACACTCGCACGTAGATGCTTCCCTGAAGACAACAATCTTAAACTCTTCAAGTTAATGCTCAGTCATTATCTATCATCTTTATTCATATAATCCCCGCTTCCTACCATTTCTTTCATTCATATCACACACCTGTCTCATCACAATCATTTTACCAATAACCTATTACCTTGAAGGGCTTTCGGGTCTTGTATTGGGGGAACAATACTACCAAAAAATTAAGGGTCAATCAGAATTTTGAGTTAAAGTTAGATCCAATGACAGGACCCAAAGATTGTGAGTTCAATACCTGGTTAAGGCGGTGGAGAACTTGGAGAGGTGAATTAACAGAAGATAACTGATAACTGACATCCATTAGACATTGCATGTGGAACTAGAACAGTCTACTCTCAGCGAGCGAAATAAAGGGTTCAGTTTGACATTCCAACCACCCGAAGAAGGCCGGAGCGTATAACGGCCGAAACGTTGTGATAAATATGGCAACAAAGATGAGGATGATAGTCCGAGCAATGTAAACAGTGTACATAATGCTTCATCTCAGAAATATAGACAGATATTTTAACAATGATCCTCTACCTTGAGGGGCTCTCGAATCTTGTTTTGAGTGAACATTAGTACACCAAAAATAGTGATAATATCTTACCAAAGTTTTATATGAATAGGAGCGCCTGCTTTAATCAGTGACACAGGACGTATATAGAAAATAGAATACAATGGAATTTTGCGACCATTTCTGGAATGGAACTAGCTAATATTCTTTATGGTCTCAACAGAATTTAAATGCATTTGCTCCACTACAATCCACAAACGAAAGGTCGTATGTCCCTGGCGAATTTATCGCTATATCCTCGGAAAATGTTCTAATAAGCTATATTCTCTAGTGCTACCAGTTCAGACCTTTACATCTAGGCTCCAACATGGCATACACACAGTTTCGAGCTATCCTCAGTAACTTCGTATTCTTTTGGTAAGAAGGCGATAATGCCACTAGAAGACAGGTGTTAACAGTGAATGTAAAAGTGGATGAGAATAAGAAGACTAAGAATGAAGATGTTTGAGGGAAGGACAAAGAAACGAACAGAGTTTAAGAATACAGAAGATGACGATTAACGTTGCATTTAAATTTTTGAAGATTGTTATCAGCGAAGCAAGAAATCGGACGTGAGAAAAGAAGTGTGAAAAAAGACACTAGAAGAATAGAACTAACGATTGCATCTAGCTAATTCAACAATAAAACGGTGAAATCTAGATGCCAATCTAGTAGCACGCTTAAATTAATTTTGTAGGAACACCAGGTAAAAAAAAAAGCTCATTCAAATAGTTGCCATGAAAATATCTGGAGAAAAAACAGGAGGAAGACAAGTCACGTCAGCAAGGTAAGTGACGAAAGCCGAGATGTCTGGTCAGGATCGATCAAATTACAGACCCTTCTTTGAAATTTTAGATCTAACCGCTATTTTTCTAGAGCCACTCAAGGAAGAGTTACTTTTAAAGTGATGATGATGAATGAAGTACGTGATATGAACGAAAGCGGGGATAGGAACTAGGAGGATAGATAATGAGTAGCCCTTGAATTCAAGAGGTTACGATTGCAGTGTTCAGGGAACCATCCACGTAGAAGTATTTTTTTTTTTTCAAAATGTGTCAGATCTTGCGAAAAAGCTGTCGGAATGGAACAGCCTTCTATTTGCAATACAAATGAGGGTGTCTCGATTCCGTGGGTGTAGCATGAAATGTTCGAAATGTAAGAGAAACCATATACACATATATCTGTATGATTGTGAAGGGTTTTTTTTTGTCTCTTTGCTGTAAATGGATAAATCATTTCAATTCAGTTCAATGTTGGAAACTACAGATTAGGGCTCATCTGAACATTTGCCATGGATATAGCGAGAGAGTAGCGATAGGCCACTTGCGACGTTGCATCCATAAGAAAGAGGTTGCACAATGGAGGATGAATCACTCCGACACAAGCGGCGTACATGATTTTGAATTCGATCAAAGCTGGAAATTGAAGATTGTGCAGCCCCATATCTTAGCAGCTATACTCCATATTTGGTCGGCGGCTAGATCAATATAATATGAAACGTACATTAAAACACCTACCCTAGGAAACTTTTCCTACACTAGTTCGCTAAGCATTACTCTAAAGACGGAATGAAGCAGTCTTTTACAGTAATGATGTCTTGTTTCAGAAGAGGTTACAGCCATCCCGTACGATCACCGATGTTAATCTATGTCGAGACTACTCAATACCTAGATAGGTAACAGCTTAGGTGTATTATGTGTTTAGATGTACGGGTGGTGTAATCGACTTATAGCGACTCGGAATTTCGTGGATATAATATCCACTCATCAAGAGTTTTGATTGGATATAACGAGTGATTGTAATATCCACGATACTCAGAATTGGGATAAGATAAATGGACATATAATTTCATTACTATTAATCCATAATCACATGATATAAGAACATATATTACAAAGATGGCTTGCCTTAAAAATGTTATCTTCTCGAAATACTTTCGTCAACCATTTTATTTATTTATTTACTAAGTGTACACGTGCCGTCAAACGTGACGGCGAGAAGTAATGTATTATAATATGTATTATATTGTAAATAATTTTCGATTCGGGGAGTGGAATAATAGATAAGGGCTCGAATTGAGGAATCGGAGAGCCGAGTTCGAATTCCAGTCGAATCCATTGCATTTACTTACGTTCTAATTTATTTTGTATGAACCCCCCCCTATTCTCAAATCCATGGGCAAATAGCAGGACATACCGGGTTCTATAGCCTTGAAAGGCAACTGGTCTACAGCAGAAAGAAATGGCAACATACTGCGGGAAAAAATGTCTTCAGTCATGTATCGAAAGATACATAATCGCCTAAGCGTGTATCACGCATGGCACATAACTGATTAAATTTTCGTTTAATCCAATTGCAATTTTGTAATTTAAAATAGTGAACGTTAATTTACAATTTATAAACAACTAAGATATTCGTATTTTATCATTATAAATGTTACATATTTACAACCAAAATAATGTTTACTGCAACAGTTTCCAAAGCACAATATTTTTTGTGTAAACTTTGGAAGGTCTGAGTCATCCTTTACAGTCCGGAGATTCAATTTCTCTTCCTAATGTTTTTTAATTTATATTTTGTTCTCCCCATCTTTTATTTAATTACAATTTTTAAAGTTTAAAACGAATTTCTAAAAATGAACAAAGCGTTCTTGAAGATATATGTGGCGTATGGGCACCTCGAGGTGGTGTAATGGTTAGCAAGCTTGTCTCGCTAGAACAATTACGACTGAGTAGTGAGTTCGATCCTCACTGGGTACTCCTTACTTTCGGCCTTGTGCCGCATCCAAGCTACACTTGGAAAATCACTATATGTGGCGTATTATATATACGAGCCGTCTTCGATAGAGATATTAACAAGCGTCAACAGAACCAACTTAGCACGTCCACCGGGTGGGTCATCGTCATTTGCAGACTGTCCCTCAATTGTTGCACACACAAAAGAAACACCCCCTATATATATGTTTGAGCGTTTTATATTATATTTTTAGTCTGTCCTGGACATTGAGTTCTACGTGGATTCTATCCTCTTGAAATATATATATATATCCTCTGAAATATATATATATATATATATATATATATATATATATATATATTGTGACGTGCCTTTTAAATGATTTGGCCATAGAGGATCGTTCGGTTAGCAAGGTCGAATTTACTGCTTTTAAACTTCAATCATCCAGGAATCTCTCACGTACATTCATATCTGCTCATATCGTATCAAATGGAAACAAATGATGTCACATTATTATGAAATGGACAAAGTCCGACAATTATTTTAAGACATTTTATGTTTATACATTCTTTTTATAGATACAAAATATTTAAGTAAATGCTCTGTTTTATAATAAGCAGTATTAAACAACATTTACCGGCCTGAATGTCCGATCTATATATATATTGACCACGGATATTTTATATATATATATCTATATATATATATATATATATATATATATGAATATGAGAGAGAGGTGTTTTCCCCGGTACCCGTACGATCACCAAAGTTAAGCAACGTCGAGCCTATCAGTATCTAGATGGTGACCGCTTGGGAAGACCATGTGCTGTAAACTTGGATTTTGGGTAGTGTAATCGATAGAGTCTCGGAATTATTAATCAGAGAGCCGACTTCCAATTGGGTTCGAATAACCTTGGAAAGTTAAGAATCCACCTCTTTTCCACCCGACTATAGTGGTTTACTAAGCGTTGTTTAGTTGTGACACGAGACCGAAAGTATGAGGTACCTAGTGAGGATCGAACTCAATACTCAGTCGTTTTTATTCTTGAGAGACAATCTTGCTAACCACATCACGTCGATGTGCCCTCCTCACGGCTATAGGTTAATTAGTAGACTTGTACCACTAAACCATTATTATCTAAAAAAAGCAAAAAAAAAAAAATTCTCAAATATTTTCTGGTTTTAAATAACCTGCAAAGGGCTGATAAGCCGTAAAAAAACGAATCAATTAATCAATATCGATAATCCTTATTATCATTACATATAAATACATAAACACAGTATCGAAATTAGGTAGTGGTACAGACATTTAGGGCGAATCAAAAATTATTTCTGCTACCTTTCATGAGGTAAGTAGAAAATGAATTGATTTTAAAACCCTATATCCGTCAAAAATAAAAATTGCCCGTCGTACATTTGCTGTAACACCGTTCAGTCGGTAATCTTAAGATTACACAGATATTCAGGCAGAAGGTGACCAGGTTCTCTGATGCCGACTGAGAAATAAATTTCTAGTGTGTCGTATTTTTTGTTGGTTTATTTGAAATAAAATTGCATAGCATTTAAGTAATTCAGATATCGATTTAGTTTATTTTCAGCTCACTACTGTATACGGATATTTGGTTTTGGCTTGCTTAATTCCAACACTGATATCAGAAAAGCTCAGTCAATCCACTGGGAAAGTGTTTTTTTTCGTTTTTATTTATCTTTCTATTGCTTATTTAATCCTATATCGTTGACCACGAGACAAATTTATCTCGCACTCTCTACACCCCTCATATATATATATATATATATATATATATATATATATATATATATATATATATAAATGCATGTATGTAGACATCCATCCATCCATCCATGGATCGAACTCACTATTCATTCGTAATTGTTTTAGCGAGACAAGCTTGCTATTACACCACCTCGAGGTGCCATATATATATATATATATATATATATATATATATATATATATATATATATATATATATATATATATATATATATATATATGTGTGTGTGTGTGTGTGTGTGTGTGTGTGTGTGTGTGTGAAAATATATAGAAAATAGGAAGGAACTGGTTAGGTAAATAATCCAAAGTCTTTTAGTATTTTAGTTATTATTTTTAAAAATAGTGCCTGATACAAAATTAGAGCATAAATATAATTATTTATTTAAAAATATGATTCCAAAACGCTACATAAGAAGTCTCATGTTTCAAAACAAGAGCCGAAAACTTCAATATAATTATTTAAATCAAATTGAGTTAAAATAAGCTCTGTTCCATCTTCAAGCGAAATTTTTTTGAGAAAAACGTATATCTGAAATTTACGTGTTTTAAAAATTGAAATCAAAATTTCCATGGTAACAGCTAGGGCGAATTGGTTAAATTGGGTAGGCGAGTGTTGGGTGTTAATAATAAGTATCAGTATAGAGTTACTTTTATAGATGTAGAATTTCTTTCAAGTCAAGGAAAGGTAGGGGGGGGGTCTAAATTTTAAACGGAAGATGTATTAACCCTCGTCTAGTTTGCATGTCTATGGAGATTTATTTATTTTTTTATTTTATTTTTTTTTTTTTAATTAACACTGGTTTTGAAACATGAGACTTCTTATGTAGCGTTTTGGAATCATATTTTTAAATAAATAATTATATATATATATATATATATATATATATATATATGAATTCTGTAAACACACACATACATAATATACGTTTGCTTCCGCCACCCTTACTTAAATTTACGGTACGCTTGCTTTTCCTTTCTACTTCCTTTCTTTATACATTTACGATGCATTTGCTTTCTTCTTTTCTCTTGATCTCTTCACTCTTCTTCTTCTTCTTCTTCTTCTTCTTCTTCTCCCTTTTCCTTACCCCCCTCCTTTCTATTACACTCAACGTTATGCGTTTGACCGTCGTGCGTTTTTTATTTATTTATTTTTGAAAAATAATAATGTAACGTTCTTTGGTTTGTGTATTTTTTTTTTAAATAAAGCGTTGGATGGTTAGTTGATAGAATTAGCCTGATGATACCGTAGGGCCGAAACCAAGGTTGCGTATTCTATCTGACCTCCTAATTTTGAAGTTTTATATATATATATATATATATATATATATATATATATATGTGTGTGTGTGTGTGTGTGTGTCTATACAGAAGATTCTCTGGTTCCTCGGACCCGACGTACGGCGTTTCGTGGTTATGGCGCTATCTCTCATAATATACTGCACCGTTACGCGGCGCTATATGAGGAAGACGGCGTTGTTTCTTCACTAGCTGTACGCCATTTTGGATTGTGCTACATTCGCTATCTTTCGCTTGTGTCGTTTGTTGAGGGAACATTTTGCCTTTCATTATGGCTCCCAAACGTAAGGAAGACTCGTGGGTGTTTATGTAGGTGAGTTTAGACTTACGTCCAGAATCAGGTTATGTCGCGCCGTAGCAACGGATCTACGACGGAAGTCGGGGAACCTCTGTATATATAAAATGGCCGGCTACTTTCGTTATCTGAGCACATCTCTTTCCTAGGACGGTAACCCAATTCCAGTTCAGGCATATTTGCCTTTCTTCGTCACCCACAGAGACAACCGGTCATATCCATGATCTCCATTGAACAGTTCGATCTACCCAATTTTCTCTCAGAATAATAATTAAGACAGAAGATAACGATTGGCATTGCATTTATTATATATATATATATATATATATATATATATATATAAATGGCCGGTTATTCTCGTTATCTGAGCACACTCGTCTGCAAGGTGGGCTAGACAATCTCATCACCAGCATAAGCAAATTAGTGTTTATTCAACTTTCACAGAGCCCACCTGTGGTTCATATTGTATATATACTTTGCCGACCCTAGATACAGTTTGGAAGAAAGAGCGCCTAATCGGCCATGAGGTCTTGTGACAGTTCAGTCTACCTAATTTAACTCACAAATCTTGTTTGTGTTGGTTTGCTGACAATTCCCAACTGTGCCACACCAAATACGATGTTATAAAGAATTATTTACTTCTCTGACAACTTGACCCTGGGGGGATCCATATCCAGATGGTCGCCTCTCAGAGTTAAATATATAGATATATTTAATTAATTCATCTATTACTATGTATATATATATATATATATATATATATATATATATATATATATATATATATATATATATGTGTGTGTGTGTGTGTGTGTGTGTATGTTAACTCTGAGAAATTTTCATATCATGTATGTATATATATATATATATATATATGTGTGTGTGTGTGCGTGTAAAAGGGATTAAAAAGAAACATTGAATAAAGATAAAGACGCGGAGGTCTGATGTTTGTTCGACATGCTGACCTCTTTATCGCGTAACAGAAAAGAGAATACAGTGTAACCCGGATATAAGAGACCCAGATATAAGAGAAACTCGGATATAAGAGAGATTTTCTCTGGTCCCAAATTAGAGCCTGTGTTAATGTATATAAATTAGACCCGTATATAAGAGAAACCCTGATATAAGAGAGATTTTCTTTGGTCCCGTCCTCCCCGATATAAGAGAGTTCGTTTTGAGTGACAGTGTGATGTCGTAAATCGGTCAAACAGATGTCAGTTAGAGAGAGAGAGTGAAGTTCAATGACTTAATCTTGACTAGTCTAGAGACACGGTGTGTCCAATCTGTGTCTGTAGGAGACACCTCTACCTTATGATTTTGCTTTTGTGTGTCTAAGGGTAGCGCCGCCCTTTTTTTGCCAACTTTGCTTGTCGTTGCATTTACTGGACAGCACTTTCACTTTACCCACTGTTCTGTTGAGTAAGAAGTTTGTCTGTTTGTTAATTTTGCCACTGAAAACCGTTTGCTTGCGATCATTGCGATTAATGATGTCGGCGTCTCAACGAAAAACTCTGAGCATTTCTGAACAGTTGGAGCTCATCGACGATGTCAAAGTGAAGAAACTCAAACTGGCCGCTGCAGCCAAAAAGTACGGAATCGGTTATTCAACAGCGGCAAAAATTCTCAAGAAAGAAGACGATCTCAGATCTTGCATGCAAATGATCGGAAACGAAAGCGCCAATCCGTGCACAAGGACGTTAACGAAGCGCTTACACAATGGTTTACGCAAGCATGTGCTCATGGAGCTACCGTCACCGATCACGTCATCAAGGCAGAAAGCATCCCAACTGGCCGTAAATCTTGAAGTTGATTTTGAACCGAGCTCATGGCTGGCTCATGCGCTGGAAGCAGGCCAATAACGTTTCGTTCAAAAAATTTCACGGCGAATCAACGTCAGCAGATCACGGTTTTGCCAACGAATGGGTGACAAACGTTTTGTGTTCGATGCTACACCGCCAGTGCCGCTGTCCGAGGTGGCCAAGCAGATAACTGTTTTGAAGGCCATGCACATGATGAAGCGAGCACTTTTCAGGCTCAAACCGTCAACAATTCAAAATTGTTTTAAAAAGGCCGGCTTTGTCATTGAATCACAGGCTGAAGTGGAAGAAATACTCGACGAAAATGATCAAGTTTCTCCACCATCGGGCATGGAGCAAACAGATTTGGACGAATTTATCAGCTTCGACTGACTGACACGGACATCACACGTGGTATAAAATCGGATGATCAAGATTTTGACGAAGATGATGATGCTGAAAGCGTCAGTTTCTGAAAGTGACAAACCAGTGCCAAATTCTCTGGCTGCATTGAATACGCTTGAAACTCTGACAGCCTACTTTGAAGCAAAAATCAGTAATCCTGATGGCGCATTGAAAATGATTTACGGACTGTATGAAAGTGTTCATGATGTTAACAAAGAGAATTCTGTATAATCAAAAATGACTGA